GTATGCATGCTGTACACTACAAAGATTGTTGGTCGATGACGGTGTGTGTTTCTCTCAAAGACATAGAAGCTCATTACATAGAAGCACTGTCGACTATAGTAAAATTGATTTCTTCAAATAAGCCACCAGTGAGGATTGTCCCACGACCCCTGGTTATTTACAAGACCAGTGCTCTAACCACTGAGCTATGGTGGCAATACAGTACTCTTAATAGGATTGTTCGGCTGAAGATTGTGTGTCTCATCTGGTCTTCTTACATAGCGCGCTGTCGATTATAAAAAAAAAAATTGATTTCTTCAAATAAGCCACCAGTGAGGATTGAACTCACGACCCCTGGTTTACAAGACCAGTGCTCTAACCACTGAGCTATGGCGGCACACACTGCTCTAAAAAGATTGTTCCGCTGAAGATTGTGTCTCACTCTGAAGTCTTATTACATAGAAGCGCTGTCGATTATAAAAAAATTGATTTCTTCAAATAAGCCACCAGTGAGGATTGAACCACGACCCCTGGATATTTCATGTTATTCAGTGCCTCTTAAACCACTGAGCTTTTCATGGCGGCACACAGTGCTATAAAAAAGATTGTTCCGCTGAAGATTGTGTCTCTACCTCTGAAGTCTTATTACATAGATCCGCTGTCGATGATAAATAAAATTGATTTTCAAATAAGCCTCCAGTGAGGATTGAAATCACGACCCCTGGTTTACAAGTTCAGTTCCTCTACCACTGAGCTTTCATGGTGGCACACAGCACTGCAAGATTGTTGGTCAGATGACTGTGTTTCACACAAAGACATAGAAGCTCATTACATAGAAGAACTGTCGATTATAAAAAAAACTTGATTTCCAAAAGTCACCAGTGAGGATTGAACTCACGACTCCTGGTTACAAGACCAGTGCCCTAACCACTCAGCTATGTGTAAGTACTACAGTGCTCTAAAATAGATTGTTCCGCTGAAGATTGTGTCTCACTCTGAAGTCTTATTACGTAGAAGCTCTTTCGATTATAAAAAAAAAATAGATTTTCAAATAAGCCACCAGTGAGGATTGAACTCGCGACCACTGAGCTATGGTGGCAATACGTACACTACAAAGATTGTTGGGTCAGATGACTGTGTTTTCAAGCAAAGACAGAAGCTCATTACATAGAAGCACTACTGACTATAAAAAAAATTGATTTCTTCAAATAAGCCACCAGTGAGGATTGAACTCACGACCCCTGGTTTACAAGACCAGTGCTCTAACCACTGAGCTATGGTGGCACACAGTACTCTTAATAGATTGTTCGGCTGAAGATTGTGTCTCATCTGAAGTCTTCTTACATAGAAGCGCTGTCGATTATAAAAAAAATTGATTTCTTCAAATAAGCCACCAGTGAGGATTGAAATCACGGGACCCCAAGTTTAAAAGACCACAGTGCTCTAACCACTCGGAGCTGGCGGCACAATAATACACTACTCTAAAAAAAGATTGTTCCACAAAAGATTGTGTCTCACCTGAAGTCTTATTACATAGAAGCTGTCGATTATAAAAAAAAATTGGATTTCTTCCAAATAAGCCACCAGTGAGGATTGAACTAATGGACCCCTGGTTTACAAGACAGTGCTCTAACCACTGAGCTATGGAGTGTCACACAGTGCTCAAAAAGATTGTTCCGCTGATGATTGTGTCTTCACTCTGAAGTCTTATTATTACATAGATCCGCTGTCGATTATAAATAAAATTGATTTTTCAAATAAGCCTCCAGTGAGGATTGGAAATCACGACCCCTGATTACAAGTTCAGTCTTCTTACCACTCAGCTATGGTGGCACACAGTACACTAAAAAGATTGTTGGTCAGATGACTGTGTTTCTTACACAGTATATAGAAGCTCATTACATAGAAGCACTGTCGATTATAAAAAAATTTGATTTCTTCAAATAGTTACCAGTGAGGTGATTGGAACTTCACAAACCATGGTTTTACAAGCACCAGTGCTCTAACCACTGAGCCAGGCACACAGTACTCAAAAAAAGATTGTTCCGCTGAAGATTGTGTGTCTCACTCTGAAGTCTTATTACATAGGTTTTCGATTATAAAAAAAAAAATAGATTTTCAAATAAGCCACCAGTGAGATTAACCTGCGACCCTGGTTTAAAAGTGACCAGTGCTCTAACCACCTAGCTATGGTGGCACACAGTGCTTTTGGGTTAGATTGTTCCATTAAGATTGTGCCCCACTCTGGAAGTCTTATTACATAGAAGCCTGATTGTAAAAAAAAAATAAATTTTTCAAATACACCAGTGTGAGGATTGGAACTCGCGACCCCTGGTTTGGAAAAAGCATCAGCGCTCTAACAACTGAGCTATGGTGGCACACTGCTCTAAAAGATTGTTCCGCTGAAGATTGTGTCTCACCTTGGAAGTCTTATTACAGAAGCGCTGTCGATTACAGGTAAATAAAATTGATTTTCAAATAAGCCACCAGTGCGAGGATTGAACTCACGGACCCCTTGGTTTACAAGATCAGTTCTCTTACCGCTGAGCTATGGTGGCGCACAGTACACTAAAAAGATTGTTATCAGATGACTGTGTTTCTACAAAAGACATAGAAGCTCATTACATGTAGCTGACTGTCGATTATAAAAAATTGATTTCTTCAAATAAGCCAACAATGATTTCCCTGAAACTCACGACCCTTGTTTACAAGCAAGACCAGTGCTCTAACCACTGAGCTATGGCGGCACAATATGCTCTAAAAGATTGTTCCGCTGAAGATTGTGTCTCACCTCTGAAGTCTTATTACATAGATCCGCTGACGATTATAAATAAAATTGATTTTCGCAATAAGCCACCAGTGAGGATTGAAATCACGACCCCTGGTTTGTTCAGTTCTCTACCACTGAGCTATGGTGGCACACAGTACACTAAAAGATTGTTAATAGATGACTGTGTTTCACACAAAGACATAGAAGCCCATTACATAGAAGCATCTTCGATTATAAAAAAAATTGATTTCTTCAAAAAACGCCACCAGTGAGGATTTGAACCTACGACCCCTGAAAGTTTACAAGACCAGTGCTCTAAATCCACTGAGCTTATGGCGCGTCACAGTGCTCTAAAGATTGTTCCGCTGAAGATTGTGTCTCACTCTGAAGTCTATTGCATAGAAGCTATCGGTCGTATAAAAAAAAAAATTGATTTATTCAAATAAGCAACTATTGAGGATTGAACCTCACGACCCCTGGCTTCATAAGACCAGTGCCTACCGCACTGGACCTATGGCGGCAATACAGTACTCTAAAAAACATTGTTGGTCAGATGACTGTGTTTCACCACAAAGACATAGGTCATTAAATAGAAGCACTGTCGATTATAAAAAAAATTGATTTCAAATAAGCCAATAGGTGATTGAACCTACGAACCCTATTTACAAGACCAGTGCTCTAACCACTGGAGCTATGGTGGCATTGGTACTCTAAAAAAGATATTATTTCGTTGAAGATTGTGTCTTATCTGAAGTCTTCTTACATAGCGCTGTCCATTAAAAAATAATAGTTTTCGTTACAATAAGCCACCAGTGAGGATTGAACTGATGACCACTGGTATACAAGAGATCAGTGCTTTTGCACACGGAGCTAAAAAGTAATGCAGTACCATAAGCAAAAGAGATTGTTACAGATGAATGTGTTTCTTTCAAAGACTTATTACATAAAAGCTCTTTCTTGATTATAAAAAAATTCGATTTCTTCAAATAAGCCACCATTAAAGATTGAATTCACGACCCGTGCTGCAGAAGACCCAGTTTCCCAACCACAGAGCTATGGTGGCGGTGGACTGTAGTTGATTATTGAGCTGTTGATCGAAAATATTCTAAAGATCTGAAGTTAGAAAAAGAAACGCTGTGTACAATAAGAAAACTGTATTCGTCAAATAAGCCACCAGTGAGAATTGGAACCACGACCCCTGGTTTATGTAGCTAGCAGAACAGTGCTCTAAATCCACTGAGCCATAGTGGCACACACTAAAAAAAGATTGTTCGGCTGAAGATTGTATCTCATCTGAAGTCTTCTTACATAGAAGCGCTAACCATTAAAAAAATAATAGCTAAGTTAAATAAGCCACCAGTGAGGATTGAAACTGTGGATGACCCCTAGTTTACAAGATCAGTGTTTTACCACTGAGCTATGGTGGCACACACATTACTCTAAAAAGATTGTTGGTCAGATGACTGTGTTTTGGCTACAAAGAAATAGAAGTCATTACATAGAAGCACTGTCGATTATAAAAAAATTGGATTTCTTCAAATAAGCCACCAGTGAGAGGATTGAACTCACGACCCTGAGATATCAAGACCAGTGCTCAACTTTACTGAGCAAGTGGTAAGCACACACAGTACACTAAAAGCATTGTTGGTCAGATGACTGTGTTTTGCCACAAAGAGATATTAGGAAGCTCACTACATAGAAGCACCAATGATTGTAAATAAAAATTAATTTCTTAAAAGCTACCAGTGAGGATTGAACTGCCGACCCCTGGTTATCGCTAAAGACCAGTGCTCTAACCACTGAGCTATGGTGGCACAGTATTCTAAAAAGATTATTGTTCTGCTGGAAGATTGTGTCTCATCTGAAGTCTTATTACATAGTAGCGCTGTCCATTAAAAAAATAATCGTTTCGTCAACAAACATTTGTGTAAGGATTGAACTCACGAACCCTGGTTTACATACAAGTCCAGTGCTCTAACCTCTGAGCTAAGTGGTAAGCACGCAGTACCATAAAGAGATTATTGTTGATGAATGTGTTTCTTTCAAAGATTTATTACATAGAAGCTCTGATTATAAAAAAAACGATTCCTTTCCAAAGGTTTTCACCAGCAAAAGATTGAATTCACGACCCGTGCTGCAGAAGACTTGTGCTCTAACCGCAGAGCTATGGTGGCACGCAGGACAGCAAGTTGATTGCGCTTTTTACTGAAAATATCTCTAAAGACTATTTAGAAAGAAACGCCAGACAATAAATAAAATTGTATTCGTCAAATAAGCCACCAGTGAGGATTGAAACTACGACTGGTTTAAAAGACTAGTGCCTAATCATCGAGCTATGGGTAAGCAATACAGTACCATAAAGAGATTGCTGGGCAGATGAATGTGTTTCTTTCAAAGACTTATTACATAGAAGCTCTTTCTGATTATAAAAAAAGTTGGATTTTCAAATAAGCCACCAGTGAGGATTGAACTTTACGACCCTGGTTTACAAGACCAGTGCTCTAAACCACTGAGCTATGGTGGCACACAGTGCTCTAAAACATTGTTGGTCGGGGATGAGTGTGTTTCACACAAAGACATAGAAGCCTATTACATAGAAGCAATTCGTCGATTATAAAAAAAATTGATTTCTTCAAAAAAAATACCTGCGAGGATTGGAACCGCACGACCCCTGGTCATAAGAGACCAGTGCTCGAACCACTGAGCTATGGTAGCAATACACAGTACCATAAAGAGATTGTTGGCAGATGAATGTGTTTCCTTTCAAAAAAAAAAAGACATAGAAGCTCACATTATATAGAAGCACTGTCGACTGTAAATAAAAATTGATTTCTTCCAAAAGCCACCAGTGAGGGATTGAACTACGACCCCTGGTTTAAAAGACCAGTGCTCTAACCACTTAGCTATAGTGTGGCAGCAATACGCTGGTATTCTAAAAAGATTGTTCAGCTGGAAGATAGTGTCTCATCTGGAAGTCTTCTTACATGGCAGAGCCGTCCATTAAAAAAATAATAATAGTTTTCTTCAAATAATACCAGTGAGGATTGAACTCACGACCCCTGGTTTACAAGCATTCATGCTCTAACCACTGAGAGCCATGGCAGGCACACAGTACTTACAAAAAAGAGATTGTTACAGATGAATGCTTCTTTCAAAGTCTTTATTACATGGCTGTTTCGATTATAAAAAAAAATTGATTTTCAATAAGGCACCAGTGAGGATTGACTTCACAACCCGTGCTGCAGAAGACCTGTGCTCTAACCTCAGAGCTATAGTGTGGTACGCATGGACTGTAAGTTGGATTGTTGAGTTGCTGACTGAAAAATACCTCTAAAGACTTATTAGAAAGAAACGCGACACAACAAAATTGTATTCACAAATAAGCCACACCAGTGAGGGATTGAACTCACGACCCCTGGTTTAAAAGACCAGTGCTCTAACCACTGAGCCAGGTCGCCAAGTGGTGCTAAGAAGATATTGGGCAGATGAATGTTTCACTCCAAAAGACATAGAAGCCTACCGATTATAAAAAAAAATTGAATTCGTCAAATAAGCCAACACCAGAGAGGATTGGACCCACGACCCCTGGTTTACAAGACCAGTGCCTAACCACCAGCTGCGGCAATACAGTGATCTTAAATAGATTGTTCCTGCTGAAGATTGTGTCTCTTTACCCCCAGTTCATTATAAGCTCTTTCGATTATAAAAAAAAAAAATAGATTTTCAAATAAGCCACCAGTGAGGATTGAACCTTATGACCCCTGGTTTAAAAGACCAGTGCTCTAACCACTGAGCTATGGTGTTACAGTACAATTACAAAGATTGTTGGTCAGATGACTGTGCTTCGCTAAAAGAGAAAGTAGAAGCTCATTACATAGAAGCAGGCCGACTATAAAAAAAATTGATTTCTTCAAATAAAGGTTTACCAGTGAGGATTGAACTCACGACCCCTGGTTTATAAAGACCAGTGCTCTAAACCACTGAGCTATGGTGGCACAGTGCTCTAAAAACATTGTTGGCTGATGAGTGTGTTTCACACAAAGACATAGTAGAAGCTCATTACATAGAAGCACTGTCACTTGGTAAAAAAAAATTGATTTCTTCCAAAAGTCACCAGTGAGGATTGAACCACGACTCTGATATTTGAAGGCACTTTCAAAGTGTGCTCTAACCACTGAGCTTAAGGGTGGCAATACAAAACCATAAAGAGATTGTTGCTAGATGAATGTGTAGTTTTCAAAGACATAGAAGCTCAATATATAGGCGCTAATTCGTCGACTGTAAATAAAAATTGATTTCTTCAAAAAAGCCACACCAGTGAGGATTTGAACTCCCACGACCCCTGGCTGGTTTACAAGACCAGTGCTCTAAATCCATTCTAGCTATAGTGGCATTGCTAGTATTCTAGAAAAGATTGTTCAGCTGAAGATTGTGTCTCATCTGAAGTCTTCTTACATGGCAGAGCTGTCCATTAAAAATAATAGTTTTTCTTTCAAATAGTTACACCAGTGAGGATTTCCTGAGTCCACGACCCTGGTTTACAAGACCAGTGCTCTGCAATCCACTTGAGCTATGGTGGCAATAAAATTCTTAAAAGATTGTTCGGCTAAAGATTGTGTCTCATCTGAAGTCTTCTTACATGGAAGAGCCGTCCATTAAAAAACATAGTTTTCTTCAAATAAGCCACCAGTGAGGATTGAAACTCACGACCCTGGTTTATGTAAGACCAGTGCTCTAACCATTGAGCTATGGTCGGTGGCACACAGTACCATAAAGAGATTGTTGGGCAGATGAATGTTTCTTTCAAAGTCTTATTACATAGAAGCTGTTCTGATATAAAAAAAAAATGATTTTCAAATAAGCCACAGTGAGGATTACCACAACCCAAAGGTAGAAGACCTGTGCTCTAACCTCAGAGCTATAGTGGTACGCATGACTGTAGTTGATTGTTGAGCTGTTGACTGAAAATATTCTGCAAAGACTTGTTGTAGGAAAGAAACGCTGTGACAACAAAATTGTATTCAAGGTCAAATAATACCAGTGAGGATACTGGAACCTACGAATCCCCTGCTATTTGGTGCTGCGTTCTGAGTGCCTCTAACCACTGAGCCATAATGCCAAGTGCGGTGCCAAGAAGATATTGTTGGGCAGATGAATGTGTTCTACCCAAAGACAGAAGCCTCTGTCAGATTATAAAAAAAATTGAATTCGCTTCAAATAAGCCACCAGTGAGGTGATTGACCCATCCCTGGCTTCATAAGACCAGTGCTCTACTTAAATCCACTCAGCTACACGGTAAGTACAGTGATCTAAATAGATTGTCTCCGCTGAAGATTGTGTCTCACCCCTGAAGCCCTTGCCATTTCTTATAAGCTCTTTTCTGATTATAAAAAAAAAAAATAGATTTTCAAATAAGCCACCAGTGAGGATTGAACTCGACCCCTTTGTTTAAAAGACCAGTGCTCTAACCACGAGCTATGGTGGCAATACAGTACATCACAAAGATTGTTATCGATGACTGTGTTTCACAAAGATATAGAAGCCTGGCTACATAGAAGCAGTGTCGACTATAAAAAAATTGATTTCTTCAAATAAGCCACCAGTGAGGATTCCCACGACCCTGAAGTTTACAAGACCAGTGCTCTAAATCCACTGAGCTAAAAGCAATACAAAGTACTCTTAATAGATTATCTGGCCGGAAGATTGTGTCTCATCTGGAAGTCTCTTTACATAGCGCTGTCGATTATAAAAAAAAAATTGATTTTCCAACAAGTCACCAGTGAGGATTGTTCCACGACCCTGGTTTACATAAGACCGCGCTCTAACCACTGAGCTATGGGTGGCAATTAGCCACTGCTCTAAAAAAAGATTGTTCCGCTGGAAGATTGTGTCTCACTCTGAAGTCTGACATATAGAAGCGCTGTCAGATTATAAATATAAATTGATTTTCAAATAAGCCACCCGTGATTGAAACTACTGTGACCCCCTGGCTATTTACAAGACCAGTCTCTTCTTACCACCGAGCTAAGTGGTGAAGTACACAGTACACTCAAAAAAGATTGTTGGTCGTGATGACTGTGTTTCTGCCACAAAGTTATATAGAAGCTCATTGTTATTAGAAGCAGTGTCGATTATAAAAAAAATTGATTTCTTCAAATAAGCTACCAAAGAGGATTATCCACAGACCCCTGGCTATTTACAAAAGAATTTTAAAGTTTCAACCATCTGAGCTATATGGTGTGGCGCTACAACACTCTAAAAAACATTTGTTGGTCGATGAGTGTAAGTCGTATAATACAAAGACATAGAAGTTTGCCATATAGGAAGCACTGTCGATTGTAAATAAAAATTATTCTTCAAAAGCCACTATGAGGATTGAATTCATGACCCAAAAGGTAAAGACCGGCAGGCTCTAAATCCGCAGAGCTGCGGATTGCAATGGTGGACTGTTTCAGTTAGATTGTTGAGCTGTTGACTGAAAATACTAAAGACTTCATAGAAAGAAACGCTGTGGGAGAATAACAAAATTGTATTCGTCAAATGTCAATGTGGATTGAACTTATCGACCCTTATTATTGAAAGACCAGTGCTCTAACTGCGGAGCTATTATTGTACAGTACTTTTAAAAGATTTCTGTTCTGGCTAAGATTTTGTCTCATCTGAAGTTCTGTTTTAAAGAAGCTAACCATTAAAAATAATATTTTCTTCAAATTGCTACCAGTTAGATTTCGAATCCATGACCCCTGGTTTATATAAGCAAGACTAGCACAACCACTGAGCTAAAGTGCCAAGTAGTGCTAAAAAGATATTGTTAAGTAGATGAATATGTTTCTACCCAAAAGATTACTGAAGCTCTGGTCGATTATAAAAAAATTAGTCTGTCAAATAAGGTTACCAGTGAGGATTGAATTCCACACCCCTACATATTTATGCGACCAGTGCTCTAACCACTACATGGTGGCACACAAAGTTCTAAATAGATTGTTCCGGCTGAAGATTGCAAAACTTCTCACCCCTGAAGTTCCTTATTACATAGAAGCTCTTTCGATTATATAAAAAAAAAATAGATTTTCAAATAAGCCACCAGTGAGGGATTGAACCCTCAAGTATCCTGGTTTAAAAGACCAGTGCTCTAATCCACTGAGCCAGATGGCGCACAGTACACTCAAAAAAGTGATTGTTTGTCAGAAAATGACCGTGTTTCTACACAAAGACATAGAAGCTCATTACATAGAAGAACTGTCGATTATAAAATAAGCTGCATACCAGTGAGGATTGAACCTACGACCCCTGGGTTTATAGTGACCAGTGCTCAACCATTGAGCTATGGCGGCACATATTATGTCAAAAGATTGTCCTGCTGAAGCAAGTAAGCCCCACTCTGAAGTCTTATTACAAAGAAGCTGTCGTTATGTCAAAATTGATTTTCAAATGTAAGCCAACAGTGAGGATTGAACTCGTTTAGACCCCTGGTTACAAGATCAGCCCTCTTACCACTGAGCTATGAGATGGCGCACAGTACACTAAAAGATTGTTGGTCAGATGACTGTGTTTTGCCACAAAGACATAGGAAGCCTATTACATATAGAAGAATAATGATTATAAAAAAAATTGATTTCTTCAAATAAGCCACAGTGATGATTGAACCTACACCCCTGGTTTACAAGACCAGTAACCACTGAGCTATGGTGGCACACACAGTACCATAAAGAGATTGTTGGGCAGATGGATTGTGTTTCTTTCAAAGACTTAATACATAGAAGCTCTTTCTGATTGAAAAAAATTGATTTCTTCAAATAAGCCACCAGTTAGAGAGAATCTACACCCGTGCTGCAGAAGACCTGTGCTCTAACCGCAGAGCTATGGTGGTACGTAGGACTGTAAGTTGATTGTTGAGCTGTTGGACTGAAAATTTCTAAAGACTTGTTAGAAAGAAACGCTGTGACAATAAATAAACAAAATTGTATCTGTCAAATAAGCCACTATGAGGATTGAACCCACGACCCCTGGTTTACAAGACCAGTGCTCTAACCATCGAGCTTGCGTCGGCACACAGTCCTCTAAAAAAGATTGTTTCGGCTGGATTGTGTCTCATCTGAAGTCTTCTTTACATGTAAGCGCTGTCCATTAAAAAAAATAATAGTTTTCTGGGCCAATTAAGCCACCAGTGAGGATTTCTCGAACCACGACCCTGGTTTACAAAATAAATCAGTGCTCTTACCACTGGAGCCGGTGGTAGACAGTACTCTAAAAAAGATTGTTGGTCAGATGAATGTGTTTCTTTCAAAGACTTATTACATAGGTTTCGATTATAAAAAAAAATAGATTTTCAAATAAGCCACCAGTAGAGGATTTGAACTCAGACCCCTGGGTTTAAAAGACCAGTGCTCAACCACGAGCCAGGCAATACAGTACTATGGAAACATTGTTGTCAGATGAGTGTGTCTTGCCACAAAGACATAGAAGCTCTGCTTACATAGAAGCACTGTCAGATTATTTAAAAAATTGATTTCTTCAACAAGTCACCAGTGAGGATTGAACTCACGACCCCAGGTTGCCAAGACCAAAGTGCTCTAAATCCACTGAGCTATGCTCGGCAATACAAAGCTCTGAAAAGATTGTTCCGCTGGAAGATTGTATCTCTCACTCTGAAGCCTTATTAGCATAGAAGCGCTGTCATTATAAAGCAAATTGATTTTCAAATAAGTTACCAGTGAGGATTGCACCTCCTACGACCCTATACATAAGAACAGTCTTCTACCACTGGAGCTATGGTGGCACAAGGTACTCTAAAAAAGATTGTTGGTCAGATGACTGTGTTTCACACAAAGAGATAGAAGCTCTCATTGCATAGCTTTACCCGTCGATTATAAAAAAAATGATTTCCAAATACAACCTGTTGAGGATTAACTCTGACCCTGGTTTACAAGACCAGTGCTCTAAATCCACTGAGCCGGCGGCACACAGTACTCTAAAAAACATTGTTGGTCAGATGACTGTGTTTCACACAAAGACATAGAAGCTCATTACATAGAAGCACTGTCGATTATAAAAAAAAAATTGATTTCTTCAAATAAGCCACCAGTGAGGATTACTCCGTCCCACGAACCCTATTTCTATAAAGACCAAAGTGCTCTAACCACTGAGCTATATGGTGGCAATACAGTACTTCTAAAAGATTGTTCCTCTCAAGATTGTGTCTCACTCTGGAAGTCTTATTGCCAGAAGCGCTAAGGCTCGATTGTAAAAAAAATTGATTTCTTCCAAATAAGCCACCAGTGAGGATTGAACCGACCCCTGGCTTCATAAAGACCAGTGCTCTGCAATCCACTGGAGCTATGCAGGTATACTACACTTTGAAGGACTAGCTCATTGGAAGATTGTGTCTCATCTGGAAGTCTTCTTACATAGAAGCGTCCATTAAAAAAATATTAGTTTTCGTTAAATAAGCCAACAGTGAGGATTGAACTGACGACCCTGGCTTACAAGAGCAGTGCTCTTACCACTGAGCTATGGTGGCACACAGTACTCTAAAAAGATTGTTCGGCTCAAGATTGTGTCTCATCTTAAGTCTTCTTACATAGAAGCGCTGTCCATTAAAATTAATAGTTTTCGACAAATAAGCCACCAGTGAGGATCGAACTCACGACCCCTGGTTTGCACGACCAGTGGTCTAACCACTGAGTTGTGGTGCGGCCACAAAATTATGTTATATCGTTAAGGGGATGAAATGTGTTTTTTCAAAGACTTATTAAGCATAGCTCTGTCGATTATAAAAAAAAATTATTTTCTTTCTTCAAATAAGCCACCATTGAGGATTGAATTCACGACCCTTGGTGTAGAAGACCAGTGCTCTAACAGCAGACCTATGGTGGTACGCAGGACTGTAACTAGATTGATGAGCTTTTGACTGAAAATACATCTAAAGACTTTTTAGAAAGAAACGCTGTCGACAATAGCAAAATTGAATTCGTCCAATAAGCCACCAGTGAGGATTGAACTCACGACCCCTGGTTTACAAGACCAGTGCTCTAACCACTGAGCTATGGTGGCACACAGTACTCTAAAAAGATTGTTGGTCAGATGACTGTGTTTCACACAAAGACATAGAAGCTCATTACATAGAAGCACTGTCGATTATAAAAAAAAATTGATTTCTTCTAATAAGCCACCAATGAGGATTGAACTCAGGAGAATGGTTTACAAGACCAGTGCTCTAACCACTAAATAAATGCCTAAATGCCCGCGACGACCCCGCCTTCCAAAAATGGTTTAAAGCAAAGAAGGGTCGCCGGGGAAGAGGGCACCCCAAAGCACGCTGATGTACAGCGGGCCCCGGCCCAACTTGCAGATTTATTAAAATTCCAAAAATGAATACAAACACTGCTCAAAAACAGGAGCAGTAAATTAATTACATAAAATGTTTTTACAGACATAAAGGTGTGAACACCATGCGTACAGACTACGCCCAAGGGCGGTAAGAAATGTGGCTAGGTTACAATGCCAAGACATAGTTCTGCGCCCAAGGGCGATATTGGAAGGCAAATACAATTCATTGGAAAGCAAATGTAATACTTTGGAAAGCAACTACAATGCGTGTAACACAAAACTAGGATATGTGATAAGTAAAAGTTTTAGCTAAAAATGGATAAGCTTATCTCTATATACAAAAGTATGAAATTAAAATCCAATGAATCTGAACACATGGATGAAAGACCTAAAAAAGAAGAAGGACATCACAAACAACGACACAACACACACAAGCACACCAGACACAGAAAAGAGTGTCAAATCAGTATGCACTCGGTACAGATTTGATAATAAAACTACAATTTACTAAACGTGGAATTACCCCTCAGTCAGCAAAGTGAGATAAAAATTTAAAGATACCAATTAAAAAACATTAAAATAATTAGCTAAAATAGATTCCAGATAAAACCCAAACACCCAGAGTCCTCTCGGGGGACACACCACCAAGAGATCAAAGACTGTGACACTCAAGCGCCGACAGGGGGCAAAGAAGTTACCCTTAAGAGCCCAACAGATCTCTCGAGATATACAAGCGACCATTAAAGATATATAGGAACGCAGACCACTGAACCCTGCAAACCTTCGCCATGCAGGGACCGACAGTAAGAGGGGTGTATTAAAAGGACCGACATAGGAGAGCGGCAGAAACAATTAAAAAGTATATTAAAAAATACATTATAAAAAGTAAGTTAAAAATATGATGAAGTATTTACAAGATGAAATATGATAATAAAAATATAGAATATTAAAAGTTTTCAACATGTATAAAAATATAATAAATAAAGTTACAACAATCCATATAGTACATATACAATAAAACCATTTGAGCCTAAGCTTAGTGGACTGAAGTGCCAACGAGGAATACGGAGTGGCCTTCACGCCTTGGGTGGCCCTACCAGGAGAATACACTCCCGACGTACTTCACCCACTCCTCCTCGCCGCACTCCCTAAAAGGGTAAACAGACCCATTGCCAATAAGGCAAACCAAAAGCAATATCAAAGTGAATATCGGTCCAAAAAGTATAATGTAAAAGTAAATAACACATAACACATTAAAAGATAACAGTTAAAAATTTTAGGCTAAAAACCATAGTAAAATACTTAATAAATTAGTCCCCATCGCGGGTCAGTGAATCTCACAACTCGTTACTTATCCTGAACGATTGTGCCATTTTCCCGATAGCCTGAATATTGTTGATGAGATTTTTGAACCAGGTTATTTTATGAGCGTCCGCAGGCTTCAATAAATGAAACTCCTTGGTGAGCGAGCAGTCAAAGGTATAATGATCTGCATCGCCCACCAGCCCGCAGACGCAAAGTGGTGACCCAATTCTTTTAAAGCGATGAAGATATTGAGGAAAAGGGCCATGTCCACTTAGAAAATAGATTAAAATTTTGTTGTGAATTAAAAACTTGGAGCTAACCGTACTAATAAATGATCTGACCCTAACCCCCGAGGCCGAGTCATATTGGTTCCAGTAAATGTTCCAAGAATTTAAAATGTGAGTTTTCAGTTTGCGATTTAAAAATGAACGAGGAGCTGGAATATCCAACTCCTCTCCTGTAGATATGGCTTGTTTTGCGAACTGGTCGGCCAACTCGTTGCCTTCAATACCAACGTGGGCCTTTACCCACGAGAGGCCGACCAGGTTATTTGCTGCATAGAGATCTTTTTTAACTGTATTGACGAATTTAGATCTGGAGCTGGCGCTCTTGAAAGCCATTATTGATGACAAGCTATCAGAATGAATATTGATTTTAAAATTATTGCTGGCGGCCCAATTCGCTGCATGTTGAATGGCCGCCAAGCTCGGCTTGAAACACTGAATTAAAAGATTTGAGTTTGTATAGAAAGTTTTGTATATTGCTATTGTTTTGGAGGATGCACACGGCGAACCCAGTTTCATCTTCCACCCTGAATCCGTCCGTGTACACCTCAAAATCTGCATTTTGAATCTGGAGGGGTGGAGATATGTATTTTTCAGCTGAGGGGATGTTTTTGACTGGAATATTAGAATCCAGGTGAACATTATCGATTATATTATTATATTGAGCAGAGCGCCGCACCCAGATCTGAAATTTAATAAATTCTGCTTCAGCTGTGATGTGAAGGGGGGGGGGGGGGCCAGTAAGAATGTTTAGAACGTTGGTTGATGTGGTACGGTAGCTCCGCGATAATTTTAAAAGAAATATCCTCTGAATGGAGTGCAAACGTTTTATTTGAGTTTTTGTTAAGGCCCCGCCCCATACACTGGCTCCATACAGCAGGGCCTTCTCAATGGTTGTGAGATACCACGTTTTAATGAGGTTCTTATTGACACTCCAGTCAGTTTTTAGAATCCGATTAAAATTGGAAGTTAAAATCAGCATCTTGCCATGTAATGAATTGATATGTTCGGACCAGGTAAGTTTATTGTCTATGACGATTCCTAGTATCGTTAAGCTATCGGTGACTCTAATAGATGTGTTATAAATCTTAAAAGTTGGTTTACGGTTCAGGATAGTAGAGTTTCGCTTGGAGAGCTTTTGCGATGCGATACTACGATACACCACGGCCTGGCACTTTTGAACAGAAAGATTGAGTTTAAGGGAGTCTAAAGATCTTGCAATATTGGCCAGAGCGAGGTTGGTGTTAGCCTCAAGAACTCTGGCCGTGCGACCCCCTATGATGAGTGCCAGGTCGTCGGCAAATGCCTGAACGTAGAGCTCTCCATCATTAAGTTTTAAAACAGCATTGATATAAATATTCCAAATTATAGGTGCTATCACTGAACCCTGGGGACAGCCTCTGTAACATTGTCTTGATGTTTCAAAGACCTCGTTAACATAATATACATGACGGTCTTTCAAATAATATTATATAAAATTTTTATAAAATAATGGGAGATTAAAATCATTAAACATGTTAAAAAGTACCGGCCAGTTCATATTGTCGAAGGCCGATTTTATGTCCATGGAGACGAGGGCAAGATGTTCATTAGGTATTCTGTTTTTAATGGTCTCCACTATTTTTGAGATGGCCAGATCACAGCTTCTGCCCTCCAAGAAGCCGTACTGATTGTCATGAATGATGTTATTCTGATCCAGCCATCTATTTAATTTAAGTAAAAAGAGCCTTTCGACAATTTTGCCCAGAGTTGAAAGGAGGCAAACCGGCCGGTACGAAGAACATATGCCAGGATCCTTGCCACTTTTTAACAAGAAAAAGATCCTGGCATTTCTAAGACATTTCGGAAAATAGTTAAAATGGAAGCACAGGTTAAAAATATCAAGCATAAAAGTTTTGTCAGTTTCGAAAACCGCCCTCCACATTCTATAGTCGATCCTGTCCAGGCCGGGTGCTTTACCACCTTTGAGACCATTGAAAATTATTTCTAAGTCAGATAAGTTGAGAGGTTCAATAGGGCCGAGTATAGGGGAGTAAATAAGTTCCTCCCCTGGAGATTGGTCCGGGAAAAAACTGTCCATGATAAAAGAAATTTTATCTTTTATGGAGTTATTTGGATTATTGTTAGGATTGACTCCAATTATACTATTGTTTCTAAATTTATTGAAAACCAGTTTGAATAGGGAACCAAATCTTTCGTTATAATTTATGCAATAGGTTTCCCAGGCCTTTCTCTTTGTATGCAGCAAAAGTTTCTTGTACTCAGCCCTGGCTTTACGGTACTCGCACCCGGAATTCTGGACCATGTCAACATTGCAATTGTTCGATTTATTTCGCATATATATCTTAAACATTTTGCTCACTTTATTTCGTAGTCGTCGGAGGCCCTCGTTCCAGAAGCTGAATCTATGGGCAGACCTTTTTGGCTTCTTTTTAAAGGTTTTAAATGCACCTTTCTTAACTAAATCAGTTAGGTCCTGTATAAAACTATTGAGATATAAAATATTAATAACGTTCTTTAGTTTCCTTTTTAACAGATTCAGGTGCTTTTTCATAAAGTTAATGAATTTGTTCTGCCCATGTTTAGATTTAAAAAAGAAATCAGCTTCTGGCAATTCTTCAATTTCGATGTTAAAATAAATATACTTGTGATCGCTGTGGGACTCCATATCCAGGATCCCCCAATTTTTTATATAATTAAAAATGGAGGTACTAATAAGGGTCAAATCGGGAAACCCCACATTAATAGAAGATATGAAAGTAGGTCCGTACTCCGGTATATTGGCTAAATGTAAATTATTGGAGGCCATGAACTCCGACAATTTTCGTCCTCTGTCGTTGTCGGAGTCATAGCCCCAACTCCTGGCCTTACAATTAAAGTCCCCCCACAAGAAGGTTAAAACTGTTATGAAAATTAAAATCAGTAAACTCATCCAGCAAATCGTCAATATCATTGTGGGGAGGAAAATAACAATTAAAAACATTTAATATTAAATTATTAAAATGCAGTTCAACACACACAGTATTTGTGGTGTTGAACTTAAAATAACAGTTAAAATCTTTATTAAAAACATATAATAATGCATTTTTACTCTGAGATGAAAAAATTTTTCCACCGAAGTCGGACGTTGGGGGTTCCCCTTTGCAAAGATAAGGATCCTGGATTGCGATGAAATCAAGTTGGAGATCCCGAGCGATCAAGAAGGCCCCCGAGTGAGCCGCGATGCAATGATTGACATTAATCTGAACACCCCGAATATTCTTAATTTCCATAGTCGGTCCTCTGCCTAATTAGATCTTTTTGTTTATTTAAGGATTTGCAGTTCGGGTCCAAACAACTGTGTTCAGTTCTATAGTTAGTTCGAAATTTTTTGTTGGACTCTGCACAATTAATGCAATATGGCCCCTGCAGCGGTGTTTCTTGCCTCGTACATCTCCACAACTGTCACACCTTTGTTCTGATTTCGGGTCGCAATTCTTAGTGGTGTGTCCGAACGCAAAGCACTTGCGGCATTGTCGTGGGGACACAAATTCTTTCAATCTCAAACGATTAAACTGAAAGTAAAAGCCCTCCTTAGCTATAAATTCGTTATACTTTTTCGGAATCACCGAGAGGACCCAGTGGTTATATTTGCTGTTTCGGGCAGGGATACTAAAATCGACTTGGAAGAGGGGCTTGTTGTTCCCAAAATCTAGTGTTATGTTCTTGGACAACAGACCATTCTTTAAAGCATTTTGATCTACGTCTTTATCAACGTTGTATAAAATTATCTGGGGTGGTTTCCAGTTTGGAACAACAAAATAGTATTTTTCTAACACTCTTTGTCACACTTCTCCATAAAACTTCTTTAATTGCCTGTATCTCATCAAGCTTGAGCGGCTATCAATTTAATACCCCCCATAAATTTTCCTATGCCTCTTAAACATGCTTCTGGAGTTTATTTGTTCTGAAGAATCTCCACAAACAATTTCCTATTAGATTCGTGATTTCTCGCTCTAACAACTGAGCTACGGTGGCACACAGTGCTCTAAAAAGATTGTTCCGCTGAAGATTGTGTCTCACTCTGAAGTCTTATTACATAGAAGCGCTGTCGATTATAAAAAAAATTGATTTTTTCAAATAAGCCACCAGTGAGGATTGAACTCACGACGCCTGGTTTACAAGACAAGTGCTCTATACCCCTGAGCTCTGGTGGCACGCAATACTATAAAGTGATTGCTGGGCAGATGAATATGTTTCACTCAAAGACTTATTGCATGGAAACTCTGTCGATTAGAAAAAAAATTGATTTCTTCAAATAAGCCACCAGTGAGGATTGAAATCACGACCCGTTGCGCAGAAGACCTGCGCTCAGAGCTATGGTGGTACACAAAACTGCGACTAGATTGTTGAGCTGTTGGCTGAAAATACATCTAAAGACTAATTAACAGAAACGCTGTGGACAATAACAAAATTGTATTCGTCAAAAAAGCCACCAGTGAGGATTCAACTCACGACCCCTGGTTTACAAGACCAGTGCTCTAACCACTGAGCTAGGGTGGCACACAGTGTTCCTAAACGATTGTTCCGCTGAAGATTGTGTCTCACTCTGAAGTCTTATTACATAGAAGCGATGTCGATTATAAAAAAAAATTGATTTTCAAAGAAGCCACCAGTGAGGATTGAACTTACGACCCCTGGTTTACAAGACCAGTGCTCTAACCACTGAGCTATTGTGGCACACAGTACCCTAAAAAGATTGTTCGGCTGAAGATTGTGTCTCATCTGAAGTCTTATTACATAGAAGCGCTGTTCATTAAAAGTAATTGTTTTCGTCAAATAAGCCACCAGCGACGATTGAAGTCCCGACCCCTGGTCTACAAGACCAGGGCTCTAACCACTGGGCTATGGTGGCACGCAGTACTCTAAAGAGATTGTTGGGCAGATGAATGTGTTTCACTCAAAGACTTATTACATAGAAGCTCTGTCGATTATAAAAAAAATTGATTTCTTCAAATAAGCCACCAGTGAGGATTGAACTCACGACCCCTGGTTTACAAGACCAGTGCTCTAACCACTGAGCTATGGTGGCACACAGTATTCTAAAAAGATTGAGACAGTTTCAGCTGGAAGAGCCGTGTCTCATCTTAAGCCTATTAAGCATAGAAGCGCCATCCATTAAAAATGTAATCGTTTTCACAACAAAACCATTAGTAAGTGATTGAACTCACGACCGGTTTATAAGACCATGCTCTAAACTTCACTGAGCTATGTCGGCACACAGTACTCAAAAAAAAAAGATTGCCTCATGGAATATTGTGTCTCATCTGGAAGTCTTCTTTACATGCAGCGTCCATTAAAAATACGTTTTCGTCAAATAAGTTTCTACCAGTAGAGGTACTGAACTCACGACCCCTGGTTTACAAGACCAGTGTGTTTCACCACTGAGCTATGCGGCAATATAGTACCATAAAGAGATTGTTGCTGTATGAATGTGTTTTCTTTCAAAGACTTATTACTTTCCAGGTTCTTTCGATTATAAAAAAGTTGATTTTCAAATAAGCCACCATAGAGGATTGAACTCCCCGCACGACCCCTGGTTTGTTACACTAATGCTCTAACCACTGAAACTATATGGCGAACAATACTTAAAAACATTGTTATCAGATGATTGAAGTCACAATAAAGACATAGGTCACATAGAAGCACTGTCGATTGTAAATAAAAATTGGATTTCTAAAAAGCCACCAGTGAGGATTGTCCCACGACCTCGAGTTTACAAAGACCAGCGCTCAACACTGAGCGCCATGGTGGCACACACAGTATTCTTGGTGATTGTTCAGCTGAAGATTGTGTCTCATCTGAAGTCTTATTACATAGAAGCGCCAGTCCAATAAAAATAACGTTTTCGTCAAATAAACCATTAGTGCGATTGAACTCACGAACCTGGTTTACAAGTCCAGTGCTTCAACTCTGAGCTACGGTGGCACGCAGTACCATAAAGAGATTGTTGGGGAGATGAATGCAGTTTCTTTCAAAAGACTTATTACAGAAAGTTTTCGATGAGAAAAAAATTATTTCTTCAAATAAGCTACCAGCAAAAGATTGAATTCACGTATCCGTGCTGCAGAAGACTTCAAACTTCAAACTGCAGAGCTATATTGGTACGCAGGACTGTAAGTTGATTGTTGAGCTTTTGACTGAAAATATCTCTCAAAGACTAGTTAGAAAGAAATGCCAGACAATAACAAATAGCCTGTCAGGGCCAAGCTTCAGTAAGGATTGAACTCGCATTTTATCTCTTGCTATTTACATAAGACCAAAGTGCTCTAATCATCGGAGCTATGGTGGCACACACAGGTATTCTAAAAAAGACAATCAGTTGAAGATTGATGCCTCATTCTGTTCACAGTAGAAGCGTCGATTAAAAAATAATCAAGTTTTCGTCAAATAAGCCACCGTGAGATTGAACTCACGTTGAATTTGGCTGGTAAGACTAGTGTCAACCATTTGTTGCGTATAACACAGTACCATGTAAAGATTGTTGGGCAGATGTGAATGTGTTTTCTCAAGACTTATTCCCATAGAAGCCTTTCTGACATAAAAAAAGTTTATTTTCAAATATGCCACCAGTGAGTATTTCAAAGTCCCACGACCCCTGGTTTGCTAAGACCAAAGTGCTCTAACCACTGAGCTATAGGCAATACAGTGCTCTAAAAAAATATTGTTGGTTAAGATGAGTGTGTTTCACACAAAGACATAGAAGCCTTCATATTAGAGTTAATACTGGTTATAGAAGCACTGTCGATTATAAAAAAAAAATTGATTTCTTTCCAAAAAAAGCCACCAGTGATTGAAACTGACCCCTGGTTTACGTAAGACTAGTGCTCTAACCATCGGAGCTATGGTGGCAAATACAGATTCTTAAAAAAAGATTGTTCTCAGCTGAAGATTATGTCTCATCTGAAATCTTATTTACATAGAAGTCCATTAAGAATGGAATCGTTGCCTGCAACAGTTTACCTAGTAAGGATTGAAACTCACGAACCCCAGCTCACAACCAGTGCTCTAACCTCTCATTAAGTGGTGGCACGCAGTACCATAAAGAGATTGTTGGGCAGATGAATGCTTCTTTCAAAGACTTGCTGTACAGAAGTTCTTCGATTATAAAAAATTGGATTTCCAAATAAGCCACCAGAAAGATTGGAATTCACGACCCGTGCCGTGAAGATCTGCAGTTTCTAACCGCAGAGCTGCGGCGGACTGTAAGTTGATTGTTAAGCTGCTGACTGAAAACAGTCTCTAAAGATTAGTTAGAAGAAAACGATGTGCACACAAATTGTAAATAGGTTTCGCTCAACTAAGCCACCAGTGAGAGTTGAAATCTACGACCTCTGGTTTAGCAAGCATCATGTTCTCTTAACCACTGAGCTATGGTGGCATTTGCTTACATAAAAACATTGTTGGTCAGATGACAGTGTGTTTCACACGCAAAAGACATAGAAGTCTCGATACATAGAAGCACTGTCGATTGTAAAAAAAATTGATTTCTTCAAAAAAAAGCCACAGTGAGGATTGAACTACGACCCCTGGTTTTACAAGCCAGTGCTCTAGCCAAACTGAGTAAAAGTGGTGGCACAGTAGTCTAAAGAAATTGCTTCAGCTGAAGATGTGATACATCATCATCTGAATCTGCTTTACATAGAAAGCGCTGTCATTATAAAAAAATAATACGTTTTCTCAAATAAGCCATACATCGAGATTGAATTCACGACCCTGCGTATATGACCAGTACTCTAAACCAGAGCTTATGGTCACGCAGCTTTGTACCAGATTGTTCGGCTGAAAGATTGTTCTCATTAAGTTGCTTAGAAGAAAGCGCTGTCATATAAAATAATTGTTTTGTACAAATAAGCCCCAGTGAGGATTGAACTCACTGACCTCATGGTTTACAAGACCAGGTGCTCAACCACTGAGCTTAAAATTGCAAGTTTTAGTACATAAAAGTATTGCTGGTGACAAGATGAAGTGAGCACTTCTTTCAAAGACATAAATGGCTCTTCCGATTGTAAAAATTATTTCAAATAAGCCACGCAGGTAATTGCACCGACCCCTGGTTTTCAAAAGACAAGTGCTCTAACCACTAGATATGTAGGCACACAGTGCTCTCTAAATAGACACCTGAAGATTGTGTCTCACTCTGAAGTCTTATTACATAGGTTTTTTCGATATAAAAAAAAAATAGATTTTCAAATAAGCCACCAGTGAGATTGAAACCACCTCAAGTAATTGTTTAAGCGACGGCGTTTCTAAACTTCACTGAGCTATGGTGGCACCCAGTACTCTAAAAAAGATTGTTGGTCAGATGACTGCAGCCACAAAGACATATAGAAGCTCATTACATGTGAAGCACGATTATAAAAAAATTGATTTCTTCAAATAAGCCACCAGTGAGGATTTCGAACTCACGACCCCCCTGGTTTACAAGACCAGTGCTCTAACCATCACTGAGCTATGGCGGCAATACAGTGCTCTAAAAAAGACGTTCCGCTGGAAGATTGTGTCTCACTCTGAAGTCTTATTGTATGCTGTCCATTAAAATAATCGTTTTCGTTTCAACAAACCATTAGTAAGGATTGAACCTTATGAACCCTGGCGTTTACAAGTCCAAAGCTCTAACTCTGAGCTATGGTGGCACGCAAAATATAAAGAGATTGTGGGGCAGATGAATGTGTTTTTTCAAAGACTTATTACATAGAAGAGTAAATGATGCAACTGAACGAAGTACACAG